TTACTAATATACACCCCACCCTACTACATTCACATATATCATCCCCACCCTAACTACTATTACTACTATATCATCCCCACCCTAACTACTATTACTACATACACCCCTACCTATCACCCCCACCCTAACTACTATTACTACAAAATATCATCCCAACCCTAACTACATATACTACATATATCATCCCTAACTAAACTATTACTACATATATCATCCCAACCCTAACTACTATTACTACATATATCACCCCACCCTAACTACTATTACTACATATATCATCCCCACCCTAACTACTATTACTAAAATATATCATCCCCACCCAACTACTATTACTACATATATCATCCCCACCCTAACTACTATTACTACATATATCATCCCCACCCTAACTACTATTACTACATATATCATCCCCACCCTAACTACTATTACTACATATATCATCCCCACCCTAACTACTATTACTACATATATCATCCCCACCCTAACTACTATTACTACATATATCATCCCCACCCTAACTACTATTACTACATATATCATCCCCACCCTAACTACTATTACTACATATATCATCCCAACCCTAACTACTATTACTACATATATCATCCCACCACTACTAACTACATATACTAAATATATCCCAATAAGTGAGTTGAAGTAGAGAAGCATCTTTCCAAACTCCTGAGCCTCCTTCATCAGCAACTATCTCGCTAGCAAATAACCCCTGGCAAGCCAAGACACTTAAAAAAAAAAAACACAAAAAAAGGAAGCAAACCAACAAGAAAAGGAAGAATAGAGCACCAAAAATAACCAAAAGAAGAGGATGAAAAAAAATAACAATCCAAAAAAAAGGAAAAAAGAAAAAAAAAAAAAGAAAAATAAGAAAAAACAAAAAACCCCTAAAAAAAAGACAATAGCCCAAAAAAAAAAATAAAAAGAACTAAGACAAATAAACCCACAAAAATGAAAAAAGGAAAAAAAACCCCCCACCGAACAAGAGAAAAAGGGGAAAAGAACCCAAACGAAGAGGAGAAAGAGAAATAAAAAACGAGACGAAAAAGGGAACCAGGAAAAAAAGAAAGAAGCCAAACCAAAGAAGAAAAACCCAAGAAAGAAGAAAAGAGAGAAAAAAAAGAACAAAGAGGAAGAACCCAGAAAAAACAAAGAAGAGGAAGAATAAAGAAAAAAAAAATAGACCCCCAACAAAAAAATAAAGAAAAAAACCCCAAAAACGAAAAATAGAAGACCCACAAAACAAAAAAAAAAAAAGAGAATAACCCCCCAACAATATAAGACAAATACCAAACCCCCAAAAATAAAGAAATGAACACAAAAAAACATATAATATATACCCTATACATTCACAAAACCCCCCAATACTATTACTAAATATCATCCCACCCTAAATACAATTACACATATATCATCCCCACCCTAATACATTACTACATTATCATCCCAACCCTAAACTATTATACATATATCATCCCACCCTAACTACTATTACTACATATATCATCCCAACTCTAATACTATTACTACATATACAGTGGGGGGAAAAAAAAGTATTTAGTCAAGCCACCAATTGTGCAAGTTCTCCCACTTAAAAAGATGAGAGAGGCCTGTAATTTTCATCATAGGTACACGTCAACTATGACAGACAAATTGAGAAAAGAAAATCCCGAAAATCACATTGTAGGATTTCTAATGAATTTATTTGCAAATTATGATGGAAAATAAGTATTTGGTCACCTACAAACAAGCAAGATTTCTGGCTCTCACAGACCTGTAACTTCTTCTTTAAGAGGCTCCTCTGTCCTCAACTCGTTACCTGTATTAATGGCACCTGTTTGAACTTGTTATCAGTATAAAAGACACCTGTCCACAACCTCAAACAGTCAAACTCCAAACTCCACTATGGCCAAGACCAAAGAGCTGTCAAAGGACACCAGAAACAAAATTGTAGACCTGCACCAGGCTGGGAAGACTGAATCTGCAATAGGTAAGCAGCTTGGTTTGAAGAAATCAACTGTGGGAGCAATTATTAGGAAATGGAAGACATACAAGACCACTGATAATCTCCCTCGATCTGGGGCTCCACGCAAGATCTCACCCCGTGGGGTCAAAATGATCACAAGAACGGTGAGCAAAAATCCCAGAACCACACGGGGGGACCTAGTGAATGACCTGCAGAGAGCTGGGACCAAAGTAACAAAGCCTACCATCAGTAACACACTACGCCGCCAGGGACTCAAATCCTGCAGTGCCAGACGTGTCCCCCTGCTTAAGCCAGTACATGTCCAGGCCCATCTGAAGTTTGCTAGAGTGCATTTGGATGATCCAGAAGAGGATTGGGAGAATGTCATATGGTCATATGGTCAGATGAAACCAAAATAGAACTTTTTGGTAAAAACTCAACTCGTCGTGTTTGGAGGACAAAGAATGCTGAGTTGCATCCAAAGAACACCATACCTACTGTGAAGCATGGGGGTGGAAACATCATGCTTTGGGGCTGTTTTTCTGCAAAGGGACCAGGACGACTGATCCGTGTAAAGGAAAGAATGAATGGGGCCATGTATCGTGAGATTTTGAGTGAAAACCTCCTTCCATCAGCAAGGGCATTGAAAATGAAATGTGGCTGGGTCTTTCAGCATGACAATGATCCCAAACACACCGCCCGGGCAACGAAGGAGTGGCTTCGTAAGAAGCATTTCAAGGTCCTGGAGTGGCCTAGCCAGTCTCCAGATCTCAACCCCATAGAAAATCTTTGGAGGGAGTTGAAAGTCTGTTGCCCAGCGACAGCCCCAAAACATCACTGCTCTAGAGGAGATCTGCATGGAGGAATGGGCCAAAATACCAGCAACAGTGTGTGAAAACCTTGTGAAGACTTACAGAAAACGTTTGACCTGTGTCACTGCCAACAAAGGGTATATAACAAAGTATTGAGAAACTTTTGTTATTGACCAAATACTTATTTTCCACCATAATTTGCAAATAAATTCATAAAAAATCCTACAATTTGATTTTCTGGGAAAAGAATTCTCATTTTGTCTGTCATAGTTGACGTGTACCTATGATGAAAATTACAGGCCTCTTTCATCTATTTAATTGGGAGAACTTGCACAATTGGTGGCTGACTAAATACTTTTTTTCCCCACTGTATCATCCCCACCCTAACTACTATTACTACATATATCAGCCCAACCCTAACTAGTGTTTATCTCTGTGTATGTATTAGTTTGTAAATGGTTACTGCTGACTTAAGTTGTCATGAAGAAAAGGAAAATTCCTCATATATAACACCTTTATTGAAATGTTTCAGTCTAAAGTGCCATTAACACTAGGAGGCGGCATTGCGCTGTGAAACCTTGGATTAATTCACTTTCAATGGAAGGAAAGCGAGAGAAGCGGAGTGGGCTGGGGACCTTTGAGCGAAGGGAGCATGGGCGAGGGAGCATGGGCGAGCGGGCATGGGATAGGGGGCATGGGTGAGGGAGCTGAACAGGGCGGGACGAAAGTTGGAGAAAGCTGAACTTTACTCGAATCCTCTGCAATATCTCGACGTGAGTGACCATTCAAAGCTCACCATAGCTTCCAACCCCTACTGGATTGACTGACCATGGCTGTTGATATGTAGCACTAACTAGCTTGTTTTCTAGCTTGTTAGTGCCCACATGAGGGTGAGGCTAGCGTGGTTAGTCGAGTGCGGCTTGTATAGACCCTGGTTCGATTCCAGGCTGCATCACAATTGGCCGTGATTGGGAGTTCCATAGGGCGGCGCACAATTGGCCCAGTGTCTTCCGGGTTTGGCCGGGGTAGGCCGTCATTGTAAATAAGAATTTGTTCTTAACTGACTTGCCTAGTTAAATAAAGGTAAAATAAAATAAAAAAATAGGGTAAATTGCCAGTAAGGTGGATTTTTATTTATGAAAGGTGGAATGGGAGCATTACAGCGCTCGTCCCAAATGCCTCCCCATTCCCTATATAGTGCACTACTTTTGGCCAGAACTCTATAGACCCTGGTCAAAAGTAGTGCACTATATAGGGGATAGGGTGGCATTTGGGACGTACATAGATGGCAGGCTAGTGCAGCTGTGCTGTCGTGTTTGAGGACCGCCTGCCTGGATGGCCCCTGAGGGCAGAGATCTGATGGAGTGGTTGGGCAGGTTGCCCTCCCAGACCAGTCTAACCAGGCAGGCAGCACCAGGCTGCTACACGCAGGAATGTGACCCAGAATAGATCGCAACCAGGCCATGCCACACACTCTGGGGTAGCACATCTGGGTCATCAAATACAGAGAATGTCCATTATTTGTTAAACATAAACATACTGGTAATACAACGTTTTATTTGAAAATAGTGTAAAAGCATTATCATGTAGTGGCAAAGCACTATAAAACTCTTATAATTGTTCATCTATAAACATAGTCATAGTCAATAAATGTTATCTATAATACACAATCCCAATATCTTTGATAACACTCAAAAGTAGGTTTCCTGAAATCGACGTTTTAAGCCTTGCATTATTTAATACATACAGTAGATGGGGGCATTGCACTCCATGTAATTTTGTACTCGTCCATGTAGTCCGGAAGTACAGAGTTCCCCGCCCCGGTTGCAGTTACACAGCTCCCGCCAGTATCCCAAGATTCCGCTGTTTCTGCTTTACCTCGCCGATTACGGAGTGAGTACTGGAGGAGTTGGTCTTCACTAGTTACCACAGCCACAAAGTCACAATTAATGCCAAAACCCGCCTATTTTTACAATTTATCTTCTTAAAATCTGATTTTAAACCTAACCACTCTGCTGACCTTATGCCTAACATTAAATTAAGACCAAAAAGCGAATTTAAAAAAAAAATAATTGTAATTATATATAGCCAATTATAACTTTGTGGCTGGGGCAACTAGTGACAACTGGTCCGTGTTCTGCTCGCTTCTGTCCATTACATGGTGGATGATGGCCGCGTCAAAGCCTGTCGAGCCGCACTCCGGGAGCGGTTTCCCCCGCTGGCAGCTGGCCCTCCTGGTCGGAACCCCCATAGTGCTGGGTGTAGGAGCCGTTTACCTGTGGAACCGCAACAAGCCCAAGGACACACCCGGGAAAAGCAATGGGGTACGGACAACTCCAGAAGGCAGCGCCAGCCCCGTCCAGGGCCAAGACGGAGCCCGTCGCGAACTGGAGGACATGGTATGAATCTCAACCACTCCTAGATATCACTCTGCCCTGCAGGTTTTCTGCTTGAGGATGATTTTATCACTACCGAAATACATTCAAGGGCACAGGTAGTCAATGAGTCACACCTGCATTTAGCGGTTGGCTGGTAGCTAGGTAACGTTAACTAGTTAGGTGACTTATTTAGCTAACGTTAACTAGCTAGAAATGTCGCCATAGACAAGCATGTATTACCGATCCTATCCACAGCAGTATTCAGCGTGGTATGACCAAACCGTGTAGGTAGTTAACTCACTAGTTCTCCTAAAATGGGGGCGGGCTAGACATTAGGTTAGTTGAGTTGCCATACTAGTTTTGTTACTAGTTGTCTTGCTAGAAGTTAGCGACCCAACCGTTCATGCTTAGCCACATTGAGCACGGTTAGGTGCACACAATAATGCGATTCTTGTGGCTAGTCAGGTTAATATATTAGAAAATCGCCAATCAAAATAAACGTTCTACCACAGTAACATTTTATTTTTGCGAATACGATTTGATTCTGAGTTCGGACATATCAAGTTGTATGTGAAAACTATTTATAAGATGCATACTGGATAAGCGCTTTTGCTAAATGACAAAAATGTAAACTGTGAACCAACTGTATTAGTTTAGGGCAGGGGTGTCAAACTCATTTTAGCTCAGGGGCCACATGGAGGAAAATCTATTCCCAAGTGGGTCGGACCGGAAAAATCATGGTATATATATATAACTTAAAAACAACAACTTCAGATTGTTTTCTTTGTTTTAATACGATCAACATACAACATAAAGCTGGAGCCTGAGGACAGTGTGTCCAAAATAGTACAAGCACAACATCACTATTAATCATAAAACACATCAAGTTTATTTGAAAATTCTAAAGAAAAAGAACACACAAACACACAATGCCTCAGTGATTAACAGAACTGTTTCACAGATCACAGAACTATATCAGGGTGTCATTTCTCAGGCAGAAATGTAGATAAAAATAATTCCCCAAACAAGTGCAAGAACCACAGAGTCAAGAATAGGTTAAATATACAAATAAAATAAAATCAATTAAAAACAATAGCACATCAACATAAAAACATATAAACATAAATCTGAAAGCGTTGCTCAAACTCCCGTAACAGTCCCGTTATTTTATCTTTGAACCGCTTCATGTCTGCCACATGTTGGGTCGCGCACACATTTTTCAGACAGGGGAAGTGAGCTGCATCACCACCGGCAAGTTGCGTCTCCCACAATGACAGCTTCAACTTGAAAGAACGTATGCTGTCATAATACTGCGTGACAACTTTGTTGCGCCCTTGCAGCTGTTTGTTCAAGTTATTCAGGTGCTCTGTAACATCCACCATAAATGCAAGGTCCGGCATCCATTCTGCGGAATGAAATTCTAACACTGGTTTGCCCTTTTCTTCCATGAACTGTTCAATTTCTTCTCGTAAATCAAAGAAACGCCTCAGCACAGCACCTCGGCTTAACCATCTTACCTCAGTGTGGTATGGCAGGCCATAGATGTGGTCTTTCTCTCTGAGAAGGCTGTCAAACTGACGGTGATTCAGGCTTCTGGATCGGATGAAATTAACAGTTTGGATGACCACCTTCATGACGTTATCCATCTTTAATGACTTGCAACACAAAGCCTCCTGGTGCAAAAGTCAAAAAGTGAAAAGTCAAAAAATCACGTCCCTTGCAGATTGCACTTTCTCTCTGAACTTTGTCACAACGCCTTCTTTTTTCCCTATCATTGAGGGCGCACCATCTGTAGCCAGGCTGACAGCGCGGGACCAGTCCACTCCGACCCTGTCCAGCGCGCCGACGAGTGCGGTAAAAATATCAGCTGCTGTCGTTGTATCTGTCATCGGCACCAACTCCATGAACTCCTCGGTGACGGTCAATGTGTCATCAACTCCGCGGATGAAAAAATGGCCAGTTGTGCAACATCTGTAATGTCCGTGCTTTCATCAATTGCAACCGAAAACGCAATAAATGACTTTACTTTTTGCTTCAACTGGCTGTCCAAATCCACTGAAAGATCGGAAATCCTGTCTGCAACTGTGTTTCTTGTCAGGCTGATATTTGCAAAAGCCTGCCGCTTTTCAGGGCACACAATCTCCGCTGCCTTCATCATGCATGTTTTTACAAATTCACCCTCACTAAATGGTTTTGAAGCCACTGCGATTTCATTAGCAATGAGGTAGCTAGCTTTCACTGCAGCGTCACTGATGTCTCGGCTGTGAGTAAACACAGACTGCTGTTTCTTCAGACCCGCCAACAGTTCATTCACCTTCTCTCATCTCCGCTGTCCTTGAAAGTTGTCATATTTGTCGGCATGAAGACTCACATAGTGGCGACGAAGGTTATATTCTTTCAGCACTGCAACATGCTCTGAACACACCAAACATACAGCTTTCCCATTCAATTCCGTGATTAAATAGGATGACCATTTTTCTTGGAACACTCTGCACTCTGCGTCCACTTTTCTCTTTTTTGACAGAGACATATTGGGGCAATGAGGGTGCCAAAGCACATAATGTTAAAAGTAGAAGCCGTATTAAATATTGTGGGCAAAACAAAGTAGCTCATTGGCTGCACGTGCTTGACCTACTTGCTCTGCCCCGGTATAAACAGTTTGCTTGCTTAACACAATTGCTATTGCGCCATCCAGTGGACGCAATTGGAACAGCAGTTTATTTTATTGAAAAATTGCAGCGCGTTTTTATACTTTACTTTTTTTTTTTTTTTTATCATCTCGCGGGCCGGATTAAACCCGTTTGCGGGCCTGATCCGGCCCGCGGGCCGTACGTTTGACACCCCTGGTTTAGGGGCATGTCAAATATACATTAAACATTCATGGACATTTAGCAACTTGCTAATTTGTCCTGGGAGATGAACATTGGGTTGTTATTCTACCATGAAATGCATATGGTCCTTTTATTTTATTGTTGCTGCATCTTTGCTACAAGCTTGGCACATCTGTATTTGGGGAGTTTCTCCCATTCTTCTCTGCAGATCCTCTCAAGCTCTGTCAGGTTGGATGGGGAGCGTTGCTGCACAGCTATTTTCAGGTCTCTCCAGAGATGTTTGATCGGGTTCAAGTCCGGGCTCTGGCTGGGCCACTCAAGGACATTCAGAGACTTGTCCCGAAGCCACTCCTGCGTTGTCTTGGCTGTGTGCTTAGGGTCGTTGTCCTGTTGGAAGGTGAACCTTCGCCCCAGTCTGAGGTCCTGAGCGCTCTGGAGCAGGTTTTCATCAAGGATCTCTCTGTACTTTGCTCCGTTCATCTTTGCCTCGATCCTGACTAGTCTCCCTGTCAGGGATGCAAAGTAGTCACCTTCCGGCGAAATTCGCCATTTTGAGTCCAAAATAGGTAACCTACGTGATTCGTATATATCCGTTGAGAATGTTTTATTTTTTTATTTTTTATGGGGGGGGGGGGGGGGGGGGGGGTTTAGATCACTACTGGCTGTCAGTGAACCAGTGATGCACGTTTGGAGCAATACAGGCTATATCACCAGGTTGCATCCCTGCCAGTCCCATCCGCTGAATAACATCCCAACAGCATGATGCTGCCACCACCTTGCTTCACCGTAGGGATGGTGCCAGGTTTCCTCCAGACGTGACGCTTGGCATTCAGGCCAAAGAGTTCAATCTTGGTTTCATCAGACCAGAGAATCTTGTTTCTCATGGTCTGAGAGTCTTTAGGTGCCTTTTTGGCAAACTCCAAGCGGGCTGTCATGTGCCTTTTACTGAGGAGTGGCTTCCGTCTGGCCACTCTACCATAAAGGCCTGATTGGTGGAGTACTGCAGAGATGGTTGTCCTTCTGGAAGGTTCTCCCATCTCCACAGAGGAACTCTGGAGCTCTATCAGAGTGACCATCGGGTTCTTGGTCACCTCCCTGACCAAGGCCCTTCTCCCCCGATTGCTCAGTTTGGCCGGGCGGCCAGCTCTAGGAAGAGTCTTGGTGGTTCCAAACTTCTTCCATTTAAGAATGATGGAGGCCACTGTGTTCTTGGGGACCTTCAATACTGTAGAAATGTTTTGGTACCCTTCCCCAGATCGGTGCCTCGACACAATCCTGTCTCGGAGCTCTATGAACAATTCCTTCAACCTCATGACTTGGTTTTTGCTCTGACATGCACTGTGAACTGTGGGAATTTACAACAGGTGGACTCCAATCAAGTTGTAGAAACATCTCAAGGATGATCAATGGAAACAGGATGCACCTGAGCTCAATTTCGAGCTGTAACGTAACAAAATGTGGAAAACGTCAAGCGGTCTGAATACTTCTGAATGCACTGTAATATGTGTGAAATGCTTGATAGTTTATGTGATGTAAACAGAGAGGTCTACTTTCTTGGGGACCTGAATATTGACTGGTTTTCATCAAGCTGTCCGCTCAAGAGGAAGCTTCTCACTGTAACCAAAAAAAACAGTGCCTGTAATCTGGTTCAGGTTATTAATCAACCTACCAGGGTGTTTACAAACACTACAGGAACAAGATCATCCACATGTATTGATCACATTTTTACTAATACTGTAGAACTTTGTTCTGAAGCTGTATCCGTACCCATTGGATGCATGATCACAATATAGTGGCTATATCCAGGAAAGACAAAGTTCCAAAAGCTGGGCCTAAAATAGTGTATAAGATATCATACAAAATATTTTGCTGTGACTCTTATGTGGATGATGTTAAAAATATGTGTTGGTCTGGTGTGATTAATAAGGAGCATCCAGACGCTGCACTTGATGAATTTATGAAATTGCTTCTTCCAATTATTGATAAACATGCACCTGTTAAGAAACTGACTGTTAGAACTGTTAAGGCTCCATGGATTGATGAGGAATTGAAAAACTGTCTGGTTGAAAGAGACGGGGCAAAAGGAGTGGCTAATAAGTCTGGCTGCACATCTGACTGGCTGACTTACTGCAAATTGAGAAATTATGTGACTAAACTCAACAAAAATAAAAAATAAACTCTTATGAAGCTAAGATCAATGATATAAAGAATGAGGAATAAACAACAACTTGACTTAAAATGAAATTATGGGCAGAAAGACAAATTCAACTCCATCTTTTATCGAATCAGATGGCTTATTCATCACAAAACCATTTGATGTTACAAATTATTTTATTGATTACTTCATTGGCAAAGTGGGTACTTTGTAAAGTTAATGTGGGAGAGGTAGAAACATTGTTATTGGTCAGTAATGACGAACCTCCTGGCATTGACAACTTAGATGGAAAGCTACTGAGGATGGTAGCTGACTCTATAGCCACTCCTATCTGTCATATCTTTAATCTGAGCCTAGAGGAAAGTCTTTGTCCTCAGGCCTGGAGGGAAGCCAAAGTCATTCTGCTACCCAAGAGTGGTAAAGCGGCCTTTACTGGTTCTAACAGCAGACCTATCAGCTTGCTGCCAGCTCTTAGCAAACTGTTGGAAATATTGTGTTTGACCAAATACAATGCTATTTCTCTGTAAACAAATTAACAGCAGACTTTCAGCATGCTTATAGGGAAGGGCTCTCAACATGTACTGCACTGACACAAATGACTGATGATTGGTTGAAATACATTGATAATAAGAAGATTGTGGGAGCTGTCCTGTTAGATTTCAGTGCAGCCTTTGATATTATTGACCATAACCTGTTGTTGAGAAAACGTATGTGTTATGGCTTTTCAAACTCTGCCATATCGTGGATTCACAGCTATCTATATAATAGAACTCAAAGGGTTTTCTTTAATGGAAGCTTCTCTGATGTCAAAGTGTGGTGTACTGCAGGGCAGCTCTCTAGACCCTGTACTCTTTTCTATTTTTACCAATGACCTGCCGCTGGCATTAAACAAAGCATGTCACTGACCACCTTCCGGAGACAATTGAAACCTTACCTCTTTAAGGAATACCTGGAATAGTATAAAAGTAATCCTTCTACCCCTCCCCCCCATAAAAACAAAAAGTGGTTGTCCTACTGGCTATCATAAGTCAAATGCACCAATTTGTAAGTCGCTCTGGATAAGAGCGTCTGCTAAATGATGTAAATGTATGCTGATGATTCAACCATATACGCATCAGCAACCACAGCTAATGAAGTCGCTGAAACCCTTAGTTGCAGTCTGTTTTGGAATGGGTGGCCAGTAATAAACTGGTCCAGAACATCTCTAAAACTAAGAGCGTTGTATTTGGTACAAATCATTCCTTATGTTCTAGACCTCAGCTGAATGGTAATGAATGGTGTGGCTGTTGAACAAAGTTGAGGAGACTAAATTACTTGGCGTTACCTTAGATTGTAAACTGTCATGGTCAAAACATATTGATTCAATGGTTGTAAAGATGGGGAGAGGTCTGTCTGTAATAAAGATATGCTTTGCTATTTTGACACCACACTCCAAAAAGCAAGACCTGCAGGCTCTAGTTTTGTCTAATCTTGATTATTGTCCAGTCATGTGGTCCAGTGCTGCAAGGAAAGACCTAGTTAAGCTGCAGCTGGCCCAGAACAGAGTGGCACGTCTTGCTCTTCATTGTAATCAGAGGGCTGATATAAATACTATGCATGCCAGTCTCTCTTGGCTAAGAGTTGAGGAGAGACTGACTGCATCACTTCTTCTTTTTATAAGAAACATTAATGTGTTGAAAATCCCAAATTGTTTGCGTAGTCAACTTACACACAACTCTGACACACACACTTACCCCACCAGACATGCCACCAGGGGTCTTTTCACAGTCCCCAAATCCAGAACAAATTAAAGAAAGTGTACAGTATTATATAGAGCCATTATTGCATGGAACTTCGTTCCATCTCATATTGCTCAAATGAACAGCAAACCTGGTTTCAGAAAACAGATGACGCAACACCTCACGGCACAACGCCTCTCCCCTATTTGACCTAGATAGTTTATGTGTGTTTATTGATATATAGGCTACGTGTGCCTTTTTTAAATTGATGTAGTTCTGTCCTTGAGCTGTTTTTGTCTATTAATGATCTGTATTATGTCATGTTTTGTGTGGACCCCAGGATGAATAGTCAGCTGACGGGGATCCTAATCAAAAGTCGAATGTCACAGTTGTTTCAAGGCTTTAAAAAAATCCTTCTTTACCCTGTTTCTTCCCCTTCATCTACACGGATCTAATTGGATTTAAAAAGTGACATCATTAAGGGATCATAGCTTTCACCTGGATTCACCTGGTCAGTCTGTGTGATGGAAAGAGCAGTGTTCTTAATGTTTTGTCCACTCAGTGTAGATGGTAATGGTAACCTATGTGTTGTGAATCAGAAAATGCCTCACAGCGATCCACATAGGTGTGCTTTTAATTTAATTGCTGTGGAAACAATGTATCCTTTTTGTTCTAAAGTGTTTCACCATTAACTCTGTCTCCCTTCCATTCTGTAGAGTCCTCTGGACCGGGCCCAGGGTGATACTAACTCTGTCTCCCTCCCTTCCATCCTGTAGAGTCCTCTGGACCGGGCCCAGGGTGATACTAACTCTGTCTCCCTTCCATCCTGTAGAGTCCTCTGGACCGGGCCCAGGGTGCTAAGAACAAGGGCAACAAGTACTTCAAGGCTGGGAAGTATGAGCAGGCCATCCAGTGTTACACAGAGGCCATCGGTCTGTGTCCTAGAGAGAACCAGACAGACCTGTCCACCTTTTACCAGAACAGAGCTGCTGCCTACGAACAGCAGGTTAGTGACAACTATCACCACGGCAACCATTCATTATGATGCTCTGTATGTGTTCTTGTGGGTTTATAGCAGTGGAGGCTGGTTAGGGGAGGATGGCTCATAGTAATAGCTAGAATGGAATTAATGGAATGGTATCAAACATGGAAACCAAACCATCATTAATTCCATCCCAGTTAAACCAAACCATCATGTGTTTGATGCTGTTTCAGTTAAACCAAACCATCATGTGTTTGATGCTGTTTCAGTTAAACCAAACCATGAGCCCATCCTCTGGTTTTCAAGTGTCACCAGCCACCACTGGTTTAGAGTGGAGAACTGTTGTATGCAAATGTGTTTCTGGGTGTTAACATTAACTATGTGTTTCTGGGTGTTAACATTAACTATGTGTGTTTCTGGGTGTTAACATTAACTATGTGTGTTTGTGGGTGTTAACATTAACTATGTGTGTTTGTGGGTGTTAACATTAACTATGTGTGTTTGTGGGTGTTAACATTAACTATGTGTTTGTGGGTGTTAACATTAACTATGTGTGTTTGTGGGTGTTAACATTAACTATGTGTGTTTCTGGGTGTTAACATTAACTATGTGTGTTTGTGGGTGTTAACATTAACTATGTGTGTTTGTGGGTGTTAACATTAACTATGTGTTTTGTGGGTGTTAACATTAACTATGTGTTTGTGGGTGTTAACCATTAACTATGTGTTTGTGGGTGTTAACATTAACTATGTGTGTTTCTGGGGTGTTAACATTAACTATGTGTGTTTGTGGGTGTTAACATTAAACTATGTGTGTTTGTGGGTGTTAACATTAACTATGTGTGTTTGTGGGTGTTAACATTAACTATGTGTGTTTGTGGGTGTTAACATTAACTATGTGTGTTTGTGGGTGTTAACATTAACTATGTGTTTGTGGGTGTTAACATTAACTGTGTGTTTGTGGGTGTTAACATTAACTATGTGTGTTTGTGGGTGTTAACATTAACTATGTGTGTTTCCAGATGAAGTGGACAGAGGTGGTGCAAGACTGTACCCAGGGTTAGGGTTTCATGTGGTAGTGTACCCAGGGTTAGGGTTTCATGTGGTAGTGTACCCAGGGTTAGGGTTTCATGTGGTGGTGTACCCAGGGTTAGGGTTTCATGTGGTGGTGTACCCAGGGTTAGGGTTTCATGTGGTGGTGTACCCAGGGTTAGGGTTTCATGTGGTAGTGTACCCAGGGTTAGGGTTTCATGTGGTGGTGTACCCAGGGTTAGGGTTCATGTGGTGGTGTACCCAGGGTTAGGGTTTCATGTGGTGGTGTAACCAGGGTTAGGGTTTCATGTGGTGGTGTACCCAGGGTTAGGGTTTCATGTGGTGGTGTACCCAGGGTTTCATGTGGTGGTGTACCCAGGGTTTCATGTGTGGTGTACCCAGGGTTAGGGTTTCATGTGGTGGTGTACCCAGGGTTAGGGTTTCATGTGGTGGTGTACCCAGGGTTAGGGTTTCATTGTGGTGGTGTACCCAGGGTTTCATGTGGTGGTGTACCCAGGGTTAGGGTTTCATGGTGGTGGTGTACCCAGGTTTTCATGTGGTGGTGTACCCAGGGTTAGGGTTTCATGTGGTGGTGTACCCAGGGTTTTCATGTGGTGGTTTTACCCAGGGTTAGGGTTTCATGTGGTGGTGTACCCAGGGTTTCATGTGGTGGTTTTACCCAGGGTTTCATGTGGTGGTGTACCAGGTTAGGGTTTCATGTGGTGGTGTACCCAGGGTGTTATGGTGGTGTTGTACCAGGTTTCATGTGGTGGTGTACCCAGGGTTAGGGTTTCATGTGGTGGTGTACCCAGGGTTTCATGTGGTGGGTACCCAGGGTTAGGGTTTCAGTGGTGGTGACCCAGGGTTAGGGTTTCATGATGGTGGTGTACCCAAGGGTTAGGGTTTCATGTGGTTGGGTACCCAGGTGTTAGGGTTTCATGTGGTGGTTGTACCAGGGTTAGGGTTTCATGTGGTGGTGTACCCAGGGTTAGGGTTTCATGTGGTGGTTGTACCCAGGGTTAGGGTTTCATGTGGTGGTGTACCCAGGGTTAGGGTTTCATGTGGTGGTGTTACCCAGGGTTAGGGTTTCATGTGGTGGTGTACCCAGGGTTAGGGTTTCATGTGGTGTGTACCCAGGGTTAGGGTTTCATTGTGGTGGTTACCCAGGGTTAGGGTTTCATGTGGTGTGTTCCCAGGGTTAGGGTTCATGTGGTGGTGTACCCAGGGTTAGGGTTTCATGGGGTGGTGTACCAGGGTTAGGGTTCATGTGGTGGTGACCCAGGGTTAGGGTTTCATGTGGTGGTGTACCCAGGGTTAGGGTTTCATGTGGTGGTGTACCCAGGGTTAGGGTTTCATGTGGTGGTGTACCCAGGGTTAGGGTTTCATGTGGTGGTGTACCCAGGGTTAGGGTTTCATGTGGTGGTGTACCCAGGGTTAGGGTTTCATGTGGTGGTGTACCCAGGGTTAGGGTTTCATGTGGTTGTGTACCCAGGGTTAGGGTTTCATGTGGTGGTGTACCCAGGGTTAGGGTTTCATGTGGTGGTGTACCCAGGGTTAGGGTTTCATGTGGTGGTGTACCCAGGGTTAGGGTTTCATGTGGTGGTGTACCAGGGTTAGGGTTTCATGTGGTGGTGTACCCAGGGTTAGGGTTTCATGTGGTGGTGTACCCAGGGTTAGGGTTTCATGTGGTGGTGTACCCAGGGTTAGGGTTTCATGTGGTGGTTTTCATGTGGTGGTGTACCCAGGGTTAGGGTTTCATGTGGTGGTGTACCCAGGGTTAGGGTTTCATGTGGTGGTGTACCCAGGGTTAGGGTTTCATGTGGTGGTGTACCCAGGGTTTAGGGTTTCATGTGGTGGTGTACCCAGGGTTAGGGTTTCATGTGGTGGTGTACCCTGGGTTAGGGTTTCATGTGGTGGTGTACCCAGGGTTAGGGTTTCATGTGGTGGTGTACCCAGGGTTAGGGTTTCATGTGGTGGTGTACCCAGGGTTAGGGTTTCATGTGGTGATGTACCCAGGGTTAGGGTTTCATGTGGTGGTGTACCCAGGGTTAGGGTTTCATGTGGTGGTGTACCCAGGGTTTCATGTGGTGGTGTACCCAGGGTTAGGGTTTCATGTGGTTATGTGTTAACATCAACGGTCTGTGTTTCCAGATGAAGTGGACCGAGGTGGTGCAGGACTGTTCCCAGGCTGTAGAGATGAACCCTCGCTATATCAAGGCCCTGTTCAGGAGGGCCAAGGCCCTGGAGAGACTGGACAACAACAAGGAGTGTCTGGAAGGTATGGCAAACACACATATATACACACACACACACACAGTGCTATGAAAAAGTATTTGCCCCCTTTCTAATTTTCTCTACTTTTGCATATTTGTGATACTGAATGTTATCAGATTTTCAACCAAAACCTAATATTAGATAAAGGGAACATAAGTGAACAAATAACACAACAATTACATATTTATTTCATAAACAAAGTTATGCAACACCCAATTCCCCTGTGTGAAAAGTTATTGCCCTCTTACACTCAGTAACTGGTTGTGCCACATTTAGCTGCAATGACTCCAACCAAATGCTTCCTGTAGTTGTTGATCAGTCTCTCACGTCGCTGTGGAGGAATTTTGGCCCACTCTTCCATGCAGAACTGCTTTAACTCAGTGACGTGTGGGTTTTCAAGCATGAACTGCTTGTTTCAAGTCCTGCCACAACATCTCAATTGGGATTAGGTCTGGACTTTGACTAGGCCATTCCAAAACTTCCAATTTGTTGCTTTTTAGCAATTTTAATGTAGACTTGATTGTGTGTTTTGGATCATTGTCTTGCTGCATGACCCAGCTGCGCTTCAGCTTCAGCTCACAGACGGATGGTCTGACATTCTCCTGTATAATTCTCTGATACAGAGCAGAATTCATGGTTCCTTCTATTAAGGCAAGTCGTCCAGGTCCTGAGGCAGCAAAGCATCCCCAAACCGTCACACCACCACCACCATGCTTGACCTTTGGTATGATGTTCTTACTGTGGAATGCAGAGTTTGGTTTTCGCCAGGCATTACTGGGACCATGTCGTCCAAAAAGTTATACTTTTGAATCATCTGTCCATAGAACGTTCTTCCAAGAGTCTTGATGATCATCCAGGTGCTTTTTGGGTCCCATTATGCCTGGTGAAAACCAAACACTGCATTCCACAGTAAGAACATCATACCAAAGGTCAAGCATGGTGGTGGTGGTGTGACGGTTTGGGGATGCTTTGCTGCCTCAGGACCTGGACGACTTGCCTTAATAGAACCATCCGTCTGTGAGCTGAAGCTGAAGCGCAGCTGGGTCATGCAGCAAGACAATGATCCAAAACACACAATCAAGTCTACATGAAATAGCTAAAAAGCAACAAATTGGAAGTTTTGGAATGGCCTAGTCAAAGTCCAGACCTAATCCCAATTGAGATGTTGTGGCAGGACTTGAAACGAGCAGTTCATGCTTGAAAACCCATACGTCACTGAGTTAAAGCAGTTCTGCATGGAAGAGTGGGCCAAAATTCCTCCACAGCAACGTGAGAGACTGATCAACAACTACAGGAAGCATTTGGTTGGAGTCATTGCAGCTAAAGGTGGCACAACCAGTTACTGAGTGTAAGGGGGCAATTACTTTTTCACACAGGGGAATTGGGTGTTGCATAACTTTGTTTATGAAATAAATATGTAATTGTTGTGTTATTTGTTCACTTATGTTCCCTTTATCTAATATTTGGTTTTGGTTGAAGATCTGATAACATTCAGTATCACAAATATATATATAATATACACACACACACACTGGACAACAAGAAGGAGTGAGTGGAAGGTGTGGCTTACTCAGACTTGTTCAGCTTTACTGTCAATGGCTGCTTCCCAAATACACCCTTTTCCCTATATAGTGCACTACAGTTGACCATAGCCCTGTGGTCCCTGGTCAAAAGTGCTCTATATGGGGAATAGAGAGCCAGTTCGAACGTGATCAATGATTCTCCTGTCCTGTTGGCATTCTTTAAAGGCATATGATACCACAACAGGTCAAGTAACTAGGGAATCCCCATATATTCCTTCCTGCTTCCCCCCCCCCCCCCCTCCTGTTCCTGTAGATGTGACGGCGGTATGTATCCTGGAGGCCTTTCAGAACCAGCAGAGTATGCTGTTAGCAGACAAAGTCCTCAAACAGCTGGGGAAGGAGAAGGCCAAGGACCAGTACAAGGTGAGAGGATGTCCCAGCTCCCAGCTCTCCTGCTGATCCTTACTGAAGGCCTTGAGTAATGGTGGCTTTTAACTGCTCTGAAATGCTCTCCTTCTCTGTGGGTCTGTGTGATCTGTGGGAAATATGTGTCTCTAATATGGTCATACATTTGGCAGGAGGTTAGGAAGTGCAGCTCAGTTTCCACCTCATTTTGTGGGCAGTGTGCACATAGCCTGTCTTCTCTTGAGAGCCAGGTCTGCCTACGGCGGCCTTTCTCAATAGCAAGGCTATGCTCACTGAGTCTGTACATAGTCAGGGATTTTCTTAATTTTGGGACAATCAGTGGTCAGTTATTCGGCCACTGTGTACCCTCTGTTTAGGGCCAAATAGCATTCTAGTTTGCTCTGTTTTTTGATTGATTATTTCCTTTGTGTCAAATAGTTATCTTTTTGCTTTATCATAAGTTGGTTTGGTCTAAATGTGTTTCTGTCCTGGGGCTCTTTGGGGTGTGTTTGTGAACAGAGCCCCAGAACCAGCTGGCTGAGGGGACTCTTCTCCAGGTTCATCTCTCTGTAGGTGAGGGCTTTGTAGTGGAATGTGTGGGCATCGCTTCCTTTTAAGTGGTTGTAGAATTGAACAGCTCTTTTCTGTATTTTCAATAACTAGCGGGTATAGTCCTAATTCTGCTCTGCATGCATTGTTTGGGGTTTTGCGTTGTACACGAAGTATATTTTTGCAGAGTTCTGCATGCAGAGTCTCAATTGGGTGTTTTCCAATTTTCACCTGGAATGCTTTTCCAACAGTCTTGAAGGAGTTCCCACATATGCTGAGCACTTGTTGGCTGCTTTTCCTTCACTCTGCCGTCCGACTCATCCCAAACCATCTCATTTGAGTTGAGGTCGGGGGATTGTGGAGGCCAGGTCATCTGATGCAGCACTCCATCACTCTCCTTCTTGGTAAAATAGCCCTTACACAGCCTGGAGGTGTGTTGGGTCATTGTCATGTTGAAAAACAAATGATAGTCCCACTAAACCCAAGCCAGATGGGATGGCGTATCGCTGCAGAATGCTGTGGTAGCCATGCTGGTTAAGTGTGCCTTGAATTCTAAATAAATCACAGACAGTGTCACCAGCAAAGCACCCCCACATCATAACACTTCCTCCTCCATGCTTTACGGTGGGAGCTGCACATGCAGAGATCATCCGTTCACCCACACCGCGTCTCACAAAGACACGGCGGTTGGAACCAAAAATCTCAAATTTGGACTCCAGACCAAAGGACACATTTCCACCGGTCTAATGTCCATTGCTTGTGTTTCTTGGCCCAAGCAAGTCTTTTCTTCTTATTGGTGTCCTTTAGTAGTGGTTTCTTTGCAGCAATTTGACCATGAAGGCCTGATTCACACAGTCTCCTCTGAACAGTTGATGTTGAGATGTGTCTATTACTTGAACTCTGTGAAGCATTTATTTGGGCTGCAATTTCCGAGGCTGGTAACTCTAATGAACTTATCCTCTGCAGCAGAGGTAACTCTGGGTCTTCCATTCCTGTGGTGGTCCTCATGAGAGCCAGTTTCATCATAGCGCTTGATGGTTTTTGCGACTGCACTTGAAGAAACTTTCAAAGTTCTTGACATTTTCCGTATTGACTGACCTTAATGTCTTAAAGTATTGATGGACTTTCGTTTCTCTTTGCTTATTTGAGCTGTTCTTGCCATAATATGGACTTGGTCTTTTACCAAATAGGGCTATCTTCTGTATACCGCCTCTACCTTGTCACAACACAACTGATTGGCTCAAACGCATTAAGAGTGAAAGAAATTCCACAAACTTTTAAGAAGGCACACCTGTTAATTGAAATGCATTCCAGGTGACTACCTCATGAAGCTGGTTGAGAGAATGCCAAGAGTGTGCAAAGCTGTCATCAAGGCAAAGGGTGGCTATTTGAAGAATCTCAAATATAAAATATATTTTGATTTGTTTAACACTTTTTTGGGGTTACTACATGATTCCATATGTGTTATTTCATAGTTTTGATGTCTTCACTATTATTCAACAATGTAGAAAGAAGTGAAAATAAAGAAAAACCCTTGAATGAGTAGGTGTTCTAATACTTTTGATCGGTAGTGTATAGTCAAGGCATTATTCCACAAGGACTCAGGTGGCAAAATGAACCGTCATTGGGACAGCACACAGATGACTTCTGCAAGCGCTGGTGTGCCATCCTGGACAAATGCTCTATTGATTTAATGACATTAATCGTTTACCAGTTGAAAAATGATTTTATTGAAAAGGAATACGATTGAAGAGAAACGCACAGCTCTGCAAGGAGCTGTTAATGATGATGGCATATTCAATGAACTGATAAACTAACCAAGCGCTCCAGGACAAGTTGTCTACAGAAATAAAGGGACAGAGTCTGCTTCTGGAGAAACCCTGACGAGGTTCTGCTCCTCCTCTCCATGACAGACGCAGGAGGGAGGCCGCCAACTTCTCTCCACTCCTGTCTGACCAACGCTCTACAACCAGCGCCTCATCCGCTTCCAGTGGCAGGTTTTATCCAACGAGAGACTGGGCCGACGGAAGCGCGGAGGTGGCCGCGGTCACGCGTACCGATGAGATGTCGTACCCGACGAGATGTCGTACCCGACGGGGTAAGAAGAAATGACTACCAGAGGCAGAGGGGACCGTTCACACGATCCAAGAACCCACAGGACTGAGTGTCTTTAATTTATCAAGCAAGATATTGAGTCCTGCCCATGTCTCCTCGCTTAATAAAGGGTTATCTTTTGTGCCTACAACTCAGTGCAACGATTTCGATGTTAAGGTAGACATGTTTACGTTTTTTCAGAAACGTCTGTTTAAGGGAATACTTTAGCTCCCCTAATCGTGGTATTTCAACTGAACATGTAGGCTGCTCATCTGCACATCCTCCGACTCCTTTTAGAAGGAAGAGTTATTTTGTACCTCCGGCCAATCGCAATCACTCTATTGAGACATATTGCAGACTGGTTGAGAAAGATCTCCTTCAGAACAAACCTGAGTACAAATCTTTCCATAATTTTAATAAGGATGAAAAACAAGCTTTGCTTGATTTACAATCCGATACGTCAGTCCTCAGCAGGGTGGGTCGGTTGTACTCATAGATAGGACAGTTTATGTAAATGATCATAGGCAACTGCTTGACAACACCTTTTACAAGAAACTCAGAAGTGACCCCACTTCCCAATTTCAGAACACTATCTTTACTGTCTGAGATGGGTATTTAAGTTCTGGTCAAATCACCAAAAAATAACAACTTTTTGGCTATTCAACACCCTAAAATTGCCACTTTCTATACTTTTACGAAAATACACAAAAATTTTACAAAAACTCCAGGGCGCACTATTGTAGCGGGCATTGATGCGGTAACGGCTCCTTTATCATTGATGCGGTAACGGCTCCTTTATCATTGATGCGGTAACGGCTTCTTTATCATTGATGCGGTAACGGCTCCTTTATCATTGATGCGGTAACGGCTCCTTTATCATTGATGCGGTAACGGCTTCTTTATCATTGATGCGTAACGGCTGCTTTATCATTGATGCGACAACTCCTTTATCATTGATGCGACAACTCCTTTATCATTGATGCGGTAACGGCTCCTTTATCATTGATGGACTTTAGTTTTCTCTCCTCTCCCTCTCTTCTCCCTCTCTCTTCTCTCGCTCTCTCCCCTCTCTCCTCTCCCTCTCTCGTCTCCCCCTCTTCTCTCTCTCCTCTCCCTCTCTCGTCTCCCCCTCTTCTCTCTCCCCTCTCTCCTCTCCCTCTCTCGTCTCCCCCTCTTCTCTCGCTCTCTCTTCTCCTCGCTCTCTCCCCTCCTCCTCTCCCTCTCCGTCGTCTCCCCCTCTTCTCTCTCCCCTCTCTCGTCTCCCCCTCTTCTCTCTCCCCTCTCTCCTCTCCCTCTCCATCGTCTCTCCCCCTCTTCCCTCTTCTCTCTCTCGTCTCCCTCTCTCGTCTCCCGCTCTCTTTTTCCTCTCTATCCAGAACCGTGAGCCCCTGATGATTTCTCCTCAATTCATAGTCTTCTCTTTCCCTCTATCCTCTGTAGCTCAGCTGGTAGAGCACGGCGCTTGTAACGCCAAGGTAGTGGGTTCGATCCCCGGGACCACCCATACACAAAAAAAATGTATGCACGCATGACTGTAAGTCGCTTTGGATAAAAGCGTCTGCTAAATGGCTTATTATTATTATTATTATTATTATTATTATTATTATCTTCTCTCTCTCCAGAACCGTGACCCCCTGATGCCTTCTCCTCAGTTCATCAAGTCCTACTTCAGCTCCTTCACCGATGACATAATCAGCCAGCCGCTCCAGAAGGGCGAGAAGAAGGACGAGGACAAGGACAACGAAGGCGAGGCCACAGAAGTCACAGAAAGGTCAGAGGTCACACTGTGATGTCACTTCCTGTCCTGTATGTTGCTCTGGATAAAATACTAAAAGTGCGTTCCAAATGGCACCCTATTCCCTATATACCATAGTGTCTGTACCAGGGTTCAACATACTGAACGGTGCAGATAAAAATGCCATGAATACTAGGTAATAGGGTGCCATTTGTTGCTCTTTGTAAAAATACTAAAGTCAACCCTAATCCTCTTTTTCCCTCTCCTGTCTCTCCATCGTCCATAGCTCTGGTTACCTGAAGGCCAAGCAGTACATGGAGGAGGAGAACTATGATAAGATTATCAGTGAGTGCACTAAGGAGGTGGAGTCTGGGGGCCGGTACACTGCTGAGGCCCTGTTGCTACGGGCAACCTTTTACCTACTCATCGGCAACGCCACAGGCGCCCAGCCCGACCTGGACCGGGTCATCAACATGGAGGACGCCAACGTCAAGGTAGTGGAGATGAGCTGGGGTCAGGGTGTTGTTGGGGTCAGTGTGTGAGGGGGGCTGGGGTCAGGGTGTGAGGGGGGCTGGGGGGCTGGGGGGGTCAGGGTGTGAGGGGGGGCTGGGGGGGTCAGGGTGTGAGGGGGGCTGGGGTCAGGGTGTGAGGGGGGCTGGGGTCAGGGTGTGAGGGGGGGCTGGGGGGGTCAGGGTGTGGAGGGGGGCTGGGGTCAGGCTAAAATGCTTGCTCCCTAACCTAACTTCCTTTCATGTGCCACGATATGCCTGGCCAGCTAGGTAACATTAGCCTTCTACATCTAGCTGCATGTTATACGTCCATCCTCTCAGTCCAGGGGCACAATGAATGAATTAATGGTTGGATCAGAATTGCTGTGATAATCATTGGCCAGTACGGAGAATTAAGTAAAACCAAATCCCTGTCTCCATCCATGGCAAATTTAGGAAAGGGACAATTTTAGCTAGCTAGCTAGCCACTGGAGGACAACAACACAACCAGATGCAACAATTCAGGTTGTTTTCTGTCAATAATTCCGTTTTGGCCTGTAATGTGATTGGTCTGAAGCCAGGACCATTCACTCCGTTTAGCTCAACGCTTTTTTTTTTTCTTTTTTTTTATTTCACCTTTATTTAACCAGGTAAGCCAGTTGAGAACAGGTTCTCAACGCTAATTGGATTGGCTTAAACATTTTTATCAGGCATTCAGTGCTACGGGCGGTAACAATGTCTCTTTCTGACATCATCAGACAGAGACAGAGACACTGTTTATCCGGTGAGATACATTCAGCCTTATGAAACACAGAGACAATAAAGAAGATACATTATTGATTGATTTTAGCCTTCCCTTGGCCTTCCCTTGGCCTTCCCTTGGCCTTCCCTTGGCCTTCCCTTGGCCTTCCCTTGGCATCCATGAATATTGCAAATAAAACCTAATGACCTGTTTTTGCTTTGTCACTATGGGGTATTGTGTGCAGATTGATGAGGGGAAAATTATGTAATCCATTTTAGAATAAGGCTGTAATGTAACAAAATGTGGAAAAAGTCAAGGGGTCTGAATACTTTCCGAAGGCACTGTACACTTAATTGTTTGAAACCTATGAAGCCTTACCTTGCTTCAAAGTAGCCTAGCCAAATTTAGGCTTATCTGTGAAGATAATTATTTTATATAAACTTTCTATCATTGTCCAGTAGCCAAAGGCACAATTCTAGTCATATTAGCAACCCTAGTTGTTGCATATTAGATCTCCCCTCTTTCTAGATGTCTAATGGATATTTTCATCTCTGTCACATGAAACCGCTCTCATGTGCAGCGCCCTTTTGACAACGGTGTTTTCCCCGCTAATTGCATTATGGAACGAACATTCACACGTAGACTACTTCCTTTTGCGCATTGCTGCACTTATAATGTGAATAAATAATAGTTTATCAATATTTTAAGCTAAATGTTCTGATCTGTTGCATCAGCCTCATTGCTTTTTAAAGTTTTTTTATGTAACCTAGGTCTACTGTATGGATGAACTTGGGATCCATCGTCCCACAACTCTCCCAGAGTCTGTTTGGAATAGGCTATTTCTTTCTTGACAAGCTGACCAATAGAATAGGTAAACGTTTCTACTATGGGGAAAGTAGATTGACCGAGGCTAATGATTTGGCTGTTCGTTACTCGTCTTGTTGGCTGAGGAACAGTAAATGTGGACAGTTATTCTAGCATCTTCAAAGTGCACATCGTTGCATCCTCCACTTGCATGTTCTGTTAATATGAATTACCATCATCTTAAAGTGATTTCTGTCATTCTGAGCACCGTGGGTGTACGCCCTAATCAGGTTACGCTCCCATGCATATGGGTCCAGTAGATTTCTCAAATGTCCGGTAAATAAAAATGCTGCCAGTCAAATGTCCTAGAGGAGTATCTGGTTCAGTCTGCTTTCCACCAGACACTGGGAGACTAGAGGTAAACCCTGGTTCAGTCTGCTGTCCACCAGACACTGGGAGACTAGAGGAAACCCTGGTTCAGTCTGCTGTCCACCAGACACTGGGAGACTAGAGGAAACCCTGGTTCAGTCTGCTGTCCACCAGACACTGGGAGACCTAGAGGAAACCCTGGTTCAGTCTGCTGTCCACCAGACACTGGGAGACTAGAGGAAACCTGGTTCAGTCTGCTTTCCACCAGACACTGGGAGACTAGAGGAAACCCTGGTCCAGTCTGCTGTCCACCAGACACTGGGAGACTAGAGGAAACCCTTGGTTCAAGTCTGCTTTCCACCAGACACTGGGAGACTAGAGGAAACCCTGGTTCAGTCTGCTGTCCCACCAGACACTGGGAGACTAGAGGAAACCCTGGTCCAGTCTGCTGTCCACCAGACACTGGGAGACTAGAGGAAACCCTGGTTCAGTCTGCTTTCCACCAGACACTGGGAGACTAGAGGAAACCCTGGTTCAGTCTGCTGTCCACCAGACACTGGGAGACTAGAGGAAACCCTGGTTCAGTCTGCTGTCCACCAGACACTGGGAGACTAGAGGAAACCCTGGTTCAGTCTGCTTTCCACCAGACACTGGGAGACTAGAGGAAACCCTGGTTCAGTCTGCTGTCTGGGAGACTAGAGGAAACCCTGGTTCAGTCTGCTTTCCACCAGACACTGGGAGACTAGAGGAAACCCTGGTCCAGTCTGCTGTCCACCAGACACTGGGAGACTAGAGGAAACCCTGGTTCAGTCTGTTTTCCACCAGACACTGGGAGACTAGAGGAAACCCTGGTTCAGTCTGCTTTCCACCAGACACTGGGAGACTAGAGGAAACCCTGGTTCAGTCTGCTTTCCACCAGACACTGGGAGACTAGAGGAAACCCTGGTTCAGTCTGCTTTCCACCAGACACTGGGAGACTAGAGGAAACCCTGGTTCAGTCTGCTTTCCACCAGACACTGGGAGATGAATTCACCTTTCAGCAGGACAATAACCTAAAACACACGGCCAAATCTACACTGGAGTTGCATAACAAGAAGACGGTGAATGTTCCTGAGTGGCCGAGTTACAGTTTTGACTTAAATCTACTTGAAAATCTATGGCAAGACCTGAAAATGCCTGTCTAGCAATGATCAACAACCAATTTGATGGAGCTTGAAGAATAAAAAAAAAAAAAAAATGGCTAAATGTTGTACAATTCAGGTGAGGAAAGAGACTTAGAGACTTACCCAGAAAGACTCACAGCTGTAATCGCTGCCAAAGGTGCTTCTAACGTGTTGACTCAGGGGTGTGAATACTTATGTAAATTAGATATTTCTGTATTTAATTTTTCGATAAATGTGCAAAAATGTATAAAAACATGTTTTCACTGTGGGGTGTTTTCACTGTGGGGTGTTTTCACTGTGGGGTGTTTTCACTGTGGGGTATTATGTGTAGATGGGTGAGGGGGGGAAAAAACACTTTAATCCATGTTGAATTCAGGCTGTAACACGTGGAATAAGTCAAGGGGTCTGAATACTTTCTGAACACTACGTTATTTAGCCAGTCTATCAGTGTTTTGGGCCGTCTGTACGTTTTTAAAGTTGGTTTTGTGTTTATAGCTTAAATCATTTAAGCGCTAGAGCTATATAGTGCACTACTTTAGACGAGCACTCATACCCACAGGGCTCTGGTCTAAAGTAGTGCACTATATAGGCAATAGGGTGTCATAGGGCTCTGGTCTAAAGTAGTGTACTATATAGGGAATAGGGTGTCATAGGGCTCTGGTCTAAAGTAGTGTACTATATAGGGAATATGGTGCCATAGGGCTCTGGTCTAAAGTAGTGCACTATATAGGGAATAGGGTGTCATAGGGCTCTGGTCTAAAGTAGTGTACTATATAGGGAATAGGGTGCCATAGGGCTCTGGTCTAAAGTAGTGCACTATATAGGGAATAGGGTGTCATAGGGCTCTGGTCTAAAGTAGTGCACTATATAGGGAATAGGGTGTCATAGGGCTCAGGTCTAAAGTAGTGCACTATATAGGGAATAGGGTGCCACAGGGCTCTGGTCTAAAGTAGTGCACTATATAGGGAATAGGGTGCCATTCTCTGGTCTAAAGTAGTGCACTATATAGGGAATAGGGTGCCACAGGGCTCTGGTCTAAAGTAGTGCACTATATAGGGAATAGGGTGTCATAGGGCTCTGGTCTAAAGTAGTGTACTATATAGGGAATAGGGTGTCATAGGGCTCTGGTCTAAAGTAGTGTACTATATAGGGGATAGGGTGTCATAGGGCTCTGGTCTAAAGTAGTGCACTATATAGGGAATAGGGTGTCATAGGGCTCTGGTCTAAAGTAGTGTACTATATAGGGAATAGGGTGCCATAGGGCTCTGGTCTAAAGTAGTGCACTATATAGGGAATAGGGTGTCATAGGGCTCTGGTCTAAAGTAGTGCACTATATAGGGAATATGGTGTCATAGGGCTCAGGTCTAAAGTAGTGCACTATATAGGGAATAGGGTGCCACAGGGCTCTGGTCTAAAGTAGTGCACTACATAGGGAATAGGGTGCCATTCTCTGGTCTAAAGTAGTGCACTATATAGGGAATAGGGTGCCATTCTCTGGTCTAAAGTAGTGCACTATATAGGGAATAGGGTGCCATTCTCTGGTCTAAAGTAGTGCACTATATAGGGAATAGGGTGCCATTCTCTGGTCTAAAGTAGTGCACTATATAGGGAATAGGGTGCCATTTGGGACATACCCTCTGTCTGAGAGATCTATATGAGTCTGACTGACAGACAGGGCCGTGGTGGGTGTGTCTGTTTCAAAAGCTGGAAGACAGGTGCTTTACTGATCTCATCAGAGAGGAATGCTCTGCTCTGCTGCTCTGCTCTGCTGCTGCTCTGCTGCTGCTCTGCTCTGCTGCTGCTCTGCTGCTCTGCTGCTGCTCTGCTCTGCTGCTGCTCTGCTGCTGCTCTGCTCTGCTGCTGCTCTGCTGCTGCTCTGCTGCTGCTCTGCTGCTGCTCTGCTCTGCTGCTCTGCTCTGCTGCTCTGCTCTGCTTCTGCTCTGCTCTGCTCTGCTGCTGCTCTGCTCTGCTGCTCTGCTCTGCTCTGCTCTGCTCTGCTCTGCTCTGCTGCTGCTCTGCTCTGCTCTGCTCTGCTGCTGCTCTGCTCTGCTCTGCTGGGGTGGTTCTCCTTTCTACGTCAGATAGTATATCTTATCTTCTTACTGAGACCTTACATACATGGAACGCATCCAAGATGAGAAAAAGAGAGAGGAAGGAGGGAGAGGCAGAACGAGACATAGAGAGAGATGGGGAAGGAGAAAAGAATAAATATAATAATAGTATGTAAGAAATCTAAAGTGTTGCTTTGCCTTCAGCAAGCACACTGAACGTAACATGTAAAGTGTTGGTTCCAAGTTTCTTCGGCTGACATTAAAAGATCCCAGACATTTTCCACACGCACAAAAAGCTTATTTCTCTGAAATTGTGTGCACACATTTGTTTACATCCCTGTTAGTGAGCATTTCTCCTTTGCCAAGATAATCCATCCACCTGACAGGTGTGGCATATCAAGAAGCTGATTAAACAGCATGATCATTACACAGGTGCACCTTGTGCTGGGGACAATAAAAGGCCACTCTAAAATGTGCAGTTTTGTCACACAACACAATGCCACAGATGTCTCAAGTTTTGAGGGAGCGTGCAATTGGCATGCTGACCGCAGGAATGTCCACCAGAGCTGTTGCCAGAGAATTAAATGTTCATTTCTCTACCATTAGCCACCTCCATCGTTTTAGAGAATTTGGCAGTACGTCCAACCGGCCTCACAACCGCGGACCACGTGTAACCAAACCAGCCCAGGACCTCTACATCCTGCTTCTTCACCTGCGGGATCGTCTGAGACCAGCCACCGAACAGCTGATGAAGCTGTGGGTTTGCACAACTGAAGAATTTCTGCACAAACTGTCAGAAACCGTCTCAGGGAAGCTCATCTGCGTGCTCGTCGTCCTCACCAGGGTCTTGACCGACTTCAGTGGGCACATGCTCACCTTCGATGGCCACTGGAGAAGTGTGCTCTTCACAGATGAATCCCGGTTTTTTTCTGTACCGGGCAGATGGTAGACAGTGTGTATGGCGTCGTGTGGGCGAGCAGTTTGCTGATGTCAACGTTGTGAACAGAGTGCCCCATGGTGGCGGTGGGGTTATGGTATGGGCAAGCATAGGCTACGGACAATGGCATTTTTTCGATGGCAATTTCAATGCACAGAGATACCGTGATGAGATCCTGAGGCCCATAGTCATGCCATTCATCTGCCGCCATCACCTCATGTTTCAGCATGATAATGCACGGCCCCATGTCGCAAGGATCTGTACACAATTCCTGGAAACTGAAAATGTCCCAGTTCTTCAATGGCCTGCATACTCACCAGACATGTATGTGATGCTCTGGATCGACGTGTACGGCAGCGTGTTCCAGTTCCCGCCAATATCCAGCAACTTCGCAGAGCCATTGAAGAGGAGTGGGACAACATTCCACAGGCCACAATCAACAGCCTGATCAACTCTATGTGAAGGTGATGTTGTGCTGCATGAGGCAAATGGTGGTGACACCAGTTACTGACTGGTTTTCTGATCCACGCCACTACCTTTTTTTTAAAGGTATCTGTGACCAACAGATGCATATCTGTATTCCCGGTCATGTGAAATCCATAGATTAGGGCCTCAGTTCCTCCTCTCTGTACCACGTTCATCTGTACAAACAATAGTACTCAAGTATAAACACCATGGGACCACGCAGCCGTCATACCACTCAGGAAGGAGACGCGTTCTGTCTCCTAGAGATGAACGTACTTTGGTGCGAAAAGAGCAAATCAATCCCAGAACAACAGCAAAGGACCTTGTGAAGATGCTGGAGGAAACAGGTACAAAAGTATCTATATCCACAGTAAAACGAGTCCTATATCGACATAACCTGAAAGGCTGATAAACAACGAAGAAGCCACTGCTCCAAAACCGCCATAAAAAAGCCAGACTACGGTTTGCAACTGCACATGGGGACAAAGATCGTACTTTTTGGAGAAATGTCCTCTGGTCTGATGAAACAAAAATAGAACTGTTTGGCCATAATGACCATCGTTATGTTTGGAGGAAAAAGGGGGAGCTTGCAAGCCGTGGAACACCATCCCAACCCTGAAGCACGGGGGTGGCAGCATCATGCTGTGGGGGTGCTTTGCTGCAGGAGGGATTGGTGCACTTCACAAAATAGATGGCATCATGAGGAAGGAAAATTATGTGGATATATTGAAGCAACATCTCAAGACATCAGTCAGGAAGTTAAAGCTTGGTCGCAAATGGTCTTCCAAATGGACAATGACCCCAAGCATACTTCCAAAGTTGTGGCAAAATGGCTTAAGGACAACAAAGTCAAGGTATTGGAGTGGCCATCACAAAGCCCTGACCTCAATCCTATAGAACATTTGTGGGCAGAACTGAAAAAGCGTGTGCGAGCAAGGAGGCCTACAAACCTGACTCAGTTACACCAGCTCTGTCAGGAGGAATGGGCCAAAATTCACCCAACTTATTGTGGGAAGCTTGTGGAAGGCTACCTGAAACATTTGACCCAAGTTAAACAATTTTAAAGGCAATGCTACCAAATACTAATTGAGTGTATGTAAACTTCTCACCCACTGGGAATGTGATGAAATAAATAAAAGCTGAAATAAATCATTCTCTCTACTATTATTCTGACATTTCACATTCTTAAAATAAAGTGGTGATCCTAACTGACCTAAGACAGGGCATTTTTACTAGGATTAAATGTATTTGGCTAAGGTGTATGTAAACTTCCGACTTCAACTGTATATCGCAAGTGAAATAGCAATATTTGGTAGTTAAATCACAATTAGATTTGTGGTACTGCCCAGACCAGGTGGCTGTGTAGTTAATATAGCTAGCAGCTCTTCTTTCTCTTAGTCCTGCCAGCTGGGGGCCAATGGCAGTATGTACACACCTCTCTGACTAAAACCCTGTCTCTGTCCTGTCTCTGGTCCTGCTAGCTGAGGGCCAATGCTCTGATCAAGCGTGGCAGCATGTACATGCAGCAGCAGCAGCCTATGATGTCAACGCAGGACTTCAACATGGCCGCTGAGATCGACACGCGCAACGCAGACGTCTACCACCACCGGGGACAGGTACGGATGTCTCTATCAATATCCCAAATGGTACCCTATGCCCTATTTCTACTTTTGACCAGCGCCCATAGGGTGATTCAGCCCATAGGCCTCTAAATAGGAAATAGGGTGAATATTGGGATGTTATTGGGGCAAATAAGCAGTCCGATGCATTAAGTCACATGTCATTCCCATGATCATTGGTTTACCCTAACAGACTGAACTGTTTCCCCTTCAGTTGAAGATCCTTCTGGACCAGGTGGAGGAGGCTGTGGGAGACTTTGATGAGTGCATCCTGCTCAGACCTGACTCTGCTCTGGCACAGGCTCAGAAATGCTTTGCCCTGGTGAGTTAGGATCAGGAGACACCACTGTACAATACACTATGTTAGGGTTAGAGCTCACTAATATAATATAATGGATATCTGTTAGAAAAATGAATCTTATCAGTTTATCTGTCCTCTAGCGTTAGTGTAGGTTTGAAGGTTCATCCTACTGGCTGTGTCCTCTTGTGTTCTGAAGTACAGACATGCTCTGGTGAATGGACTGTCTAAAACACTTCAGACAGCTGTGAGACCAGAGCTCACCAATCTGCTGTTTATGAACTGGGAGAAACATGCATCTTTCAGTTAGTTAGTCTGCTCTCTAAGGTTGGTGCAGTATGGAGCATAGCTCTCTAAGGTTGGTGCAGTATTTGTATTTATTATGGATCCCCATTAGTTCCTGCCAAGGCAGCAGCTACTCTTCCTGGGGTTTATTATGGATCCCCATTAGTTCCTGCCAAGGCAGCAGCTACTCTTCCTGGGGTTTATTATGGATCCCCATTAGTTCCTGCCAAGGCAGCAGCTACTCTTCCTGGGGTTTATTATGGATCCCCATTAGTTCCTGCCAAGGCAGCAGCTACTCTTCCTGGGGTTTATTATGGATCCCCATTAGTTCCTGCCAAGGCAGCAGCTACTCTTCCTGGGGTTTATTATGGATCCCCATTAGTTCCTGCCAAGGCAGCAGCTACTCTTCCTGGGGTTTACTTTATCCTATCCCAGGTATTCCTTAAAGAGGTGGGGTTTCAAATGTCTCCGGAAGGTGGTGAGTGACTCCGCTGTCCTGGCGTCGTGAGGGAGCTTGTTCCACCATTGGGGTGCCAGAGCAGCGAACAGTTTTGACTGGGCTGAGCGGGAACCATGCTTCCGCAGAGGTAGGGGAGCCAGCAGGCCAGAGGTGGATGAACGCAGTGCCCTCGTTTGGGTGTAGGGACTGATCAGAGCCTGAAGGTACGGAGGTGCCGTTCCCCTCACAGCTCCGTAGGCAAGCACCATGGTCTTGTAGCAGATGCGAGCTTCAACTGGAAGCCAGTGGAGTGTGCGGAGGAGCGGGGTGACGTGAGAGAACTTGGGAAGGTTGAACACCAGACGGGCTGCGGCATTCTGGATGAGTTGTAGGGGTTTAATGGCACAAGCAGGGAGCCCGGCCAACAGCGAGTTGCAGTAATCCAGACGGGAGATGACAAGTGCCTGGATTAGGACCTGTGCCGCTTCCTGTGTAAGGCAGGGTCGTACTCTCCGAATGTTGTAGAGCATGAACCTACAGGATCGGGTCACCGCCTTGATGTTAGCGGAGAACGACAGGGTGTTGTCCAGGGTCACGCCAAGGCTCTTCGCACTCTGGGAGGAGGACACAACGGAGTTGTCAACCATGATGGCGAGATCATGGAACGGGCAGTCCTTCCCCGGGAGGAAGAGCAGCTCCGTCTTGCCGAGGTTCAGCTTGAGGTGGTGATCCGTCATCCACATTGATATGTCTGCCAGACATGCAGAGATGCGATTCGCCACCTGGTTATCAGAAGGGGGAAAGGAGAAGATTAGTTGTGTGTCGTCTGCGTAGCAATGATAGGAGAGGCCATGTGAGGATATGACAGAGCCAAGTGACTTGGTGTATAGCGAGAATAGGAGAGGGCCTAGAACTGAGCCCTGGGGGACACCAGTGGTGAGAGCACGTGGTGCGGAGACAGCTTCTCGCCACGCCACTTGGTAGGAGCGACCGGTCAGGTAGGACGCAATCCAAGAGTGAGCTGCGCCGGAGATGCCCAGCTCGGAGAGGGTGGAGAGGAGGATCTGATGGTTCACAGTATCAAAGGCAGCAGACAGGTCTAGAAGGACAAGAGCAGAGGAGAGAGAGTTAGCTTTAGCAGTGTGGAGAGCCTCTGTGACACAGAGAAGAGCAGTCTCAGTTGAATGACCAGTCTTGAAACCTGACTGGTTTGGATCAAGAAGGTCATTCTGAGAGAGATAGCAAGAGAGTTGGCTAAAGACGGCACGCTCAATAGTTTTGGAGAGAAAAGAAAGAAGGGATACTGGTCTGTAGTTGTTAACATCGGAGGGATCGAGTGTTGGTTTTTTGAGAAGGGGTGCAACTCTCGCTCTCTTGAAGACGGAAGGGACATAGCCAGCGGTCAAGGATGAGTTGATCAGCGAGGTGAGGTAAGGGAGAAGGTCACCGGAGATGGTCTGGAGAAGAGAGGAGGGGATAGGGTCAAGCGGGCAGGTTGTTGGGGGCGGCCTGCCGTCACAAGTCGCAAGATTTTATCTGGAGAGAGAGGGGAGAAAGAAGTCAAAGCATAGGGTAGGGCAGTGTGAGCAGGACCAGCAGTGTCATTTGACTTAACAAACGAGGATCGGATGTCGTCAACCTTCTTTTCAAAATGGTTGACGAAGTCATCCACAGAGAGGGGGGGGGGGGGGGGGGGGGGGGGGGGGGGATTCAGCAGGGAGGAGAATGTGGCAAAGAGCTTCCTAGGGTTAGAGGCGGATGCTTGGAATTTAGAGTGGTAGAAAGTGGCCTTAGCAGCAGAAACAGATGAAGAAAATGTAGAGAGGAGGGAGTGAAAAGATGCCAGGTCTGCAGGGAGTCTAGTTTTCTTCAATTTCCGCTCAGCTGCCCGGAGCTCTGTTCTGTGAGCTCGCAATGAGTCATCAAGCCACGGAGCTGGAGGGGAGGACCGAGCCGGCCGGGAGGATAGGGGACATAGAGAGTCAAAGGATGCAGAAAGGGAGGAGAGGAGGGTTGAGGAGGCAGAATCAGGAGATTGGAGGGAGAAGGATTGAGCAGAGGGAAGAGATGATAGGATGGAAGAGGAGAGAGTAGCGGGGGAGAGAGAGAGCGAAGTTTGCGACGGCGCATTACCATCTGTGTAGGGGCAGAGTGAGTAGTGTTGGAGGAGAGGGAGAGAGAAAAGGATACAAAGTAGTGGTCGGAGACTTGGAGGGGAGTTGCAGTGAGATTAGTAGAACAGCATCTAGTAAAGATGAGGTCAAGCGAATTGCCTGCCTTGTGAGTAGGGGGGGACGGTGAGAGGGTGAGGTCAAAAGAGGAGAGGAGTGGAAAGAAGGAGGCAGAGAGAAATGAGTCAAATGTAGACGTAGGGAGGTTGAAATCCCCCAGAACTGTGAGGGGTGAGCCATCCTCAGGAAAGGAACTTATCAAGGCGTCAAGCTCATTGATGAACTCTCCAAGGGAACCTGGAGGGCGATAGATGACAAGGATATTAAGCTTAAATGGGCTAGTGACTGTGACAGCATGGAATTCAAACGAGGAGATAGACAGATGGGTTAGGGGAAAAATTGAGAATGTCCACTTGGGAGAGATGAGGATTCCTGTGCCACCACCCCGCTGACCAGATGCTCTTGGGGTATGCGAGAACACATGGTCAGACGAGGAGAGAGCAGTAGGAGTAGCAGTGTTTTCAGTGGTAATCCATGTTTCCGTCAGCGCCAAGAAGTCGAGGGACTGGAGGGTAGCATAGGCTGGGATGAAGTCTGCCTTGTTGGCAGCAGAACGGCAGTTCCAGAGGCTGCCTGAGACCTGGAACTCCACGTGGGTCGTGCGTGCAGGGACCACCAGGTTAGAGAGGCAGCAGCCACGCAGTGTGAGGCGTTTGTGTAGCCTGTGTGGAGAGGAGAGAACAGGGATAGGCAGAGGCATAGTTGACAGGCTGCAGCAGATGGCTACAATAATGCAGAGGAGATCGGAATAAAATGAACTAAACATCTGGGAAAGGAGAGAGCGGGGCCTCCCTCACCACAACTCCCAAATATAACTCTCCCAACTTCCACCTCAGAAACTATAATTGTTGTAAACTACAGCGGTTCAATGTTTTCTAGGAATAGACTAACCTAGTTTATTCAGCTAGCTAACTAGGTGCAGTATTATTCCGTGAAAAACGTCCGGGCACCTCGTCATAAGACGCCACAGCCAGCTAGCATGCCGGTCTCCAGCAGCAGGGTTTAGCGCCAATACTCAGCCACAACAACCACCAGTGTATCAACACACAAGCAGATCGTTCGTGTCCGTGTCTAACATTGTGGGTTAGTCCCGACAGCTTGAGCGAGTCCGTCGTCAACTTATTCAGCCAGTTAGTTAGCTAGAATAGTTAGCAAACTAGCTAGCCATTGCTTTCAGACAAAGAAGAACCCCTCCTTTCACGGCACGAACACACAGAGAGAGCCAAACTAACGTTAACTAGTCACCCATGTCCCGAATTCCTTGAGCGACTCGGGCTATCAATATGTAAAAAACTAAACACAAGTGTAGGTTATGACTTACCCCTAGCAGCTACTGTTAGCTAGCCAAGTGCAAAGCTAGCCACTGAATTGACTCAGCCAGTTCGCGTCTGTTCGCTCGGTCGTTCCAGCTATTGTTTAGGGGGCGGCAGGTAGCTTAGTGGTTAAGAGCGTTGTGCCAGTAACCGAAAGGTCGCTGGTTCTAATCCCCGAGCCGACTAGGTGAAAAATCTGTCGATGTGCCCTTGAGCAAGGCACTTAACCCTAATTGCTCCTGTAAGTCGCTCTGGATAAGAGTGTCTGCTAAAATGACAAAAATGTAAAAAAATAAAATGTAAAAATGTTTACAAGTAGCTATCCAGGTTGCAACAAGCTTGCTAATTTTCAAGCACAGTAGCCACTTGCTACCTAACGTTAACGGTTCAGACAATGAGGTTAGAAAACAGCTGAATGGTAGGCAGTTATTGTATGTAACTATTGTAGGCAGCCAGCTGGCGTAATTACAGGCACTCTCAGGCGTGAAACAACTATACCGTTGCTAATAGCTACTCGCCAGCTAGTCCAGGTGGTGAGTTAGCTAGCTAGCTAGCTTCGTGCTACACCCGGCACCGCCGAATACAATACTAACCTACAATAATTACATACAACAACTACCTACAACAACCCACGATACCTACCTACAATACCTAACTACAATCTAAATACATAGTTTAAACCTTACTCGACAAAGCCCAAGCTATGTATAAAGCCAAACTTACCCGACGCCAAGCTTACCCGACGACCTCCTC